TATTTTATAATTTAATATTTTTTCATAAATACACTACATATATTATAATTTGTTTTCCCATTATCTTATGTTCTCATTGCACAGCTCCTGTCTTCCTCAGTTGCTCTGCTTCCAGTGCAGCTTGTTTTAAGTAGAGCTTTTATCCAATCAGATCTCACCTCTGTGTCTCTAGGTAAGAACAGAGGCAGAGGCCTGCAGACTCACAAGTGCATCCATGTGCAGTTCAAGTGAATGGGGACCATATTGTTGATTGTCATAGTGTTCAACCAATCAGATCTTTAGTTTGACATGTTGGGCGTATTCTTTGACGTGTCAGAGCCTGCTAGCTGGCCTACAAGTACGTGATTGGTCAGTGGGCTAGCGTGACATGTTGGGCGGTGACAATCCCAATATCTGCTGCCTCTGTGGAGCGGACATTTTCAGCCCTCAAACGCATTAAAACGTATTCAAGAAATACAACTGGGGAGGCTCGACTGTCTTCACTGGCGTCCATGAATCAAGGACTTCTTACAGGAACTAAAACGCACGGATGTACTGAACAACCGTGAGATTAAACTCTTTGTAATCAAAGAAAGGAGGAACAGCAGCTAAATAGTGAACAGCAGCTCTGGTAAGTTAATGCGTTTGTTTTTACATCTGCAGTAGCTGTAATAAATCCTCATCCAGTGTTAAGTGTAGATTTGTGTTATGTACACAACTGCCCTGTAACGATGAGTATTAATGTGATATCTCATTAGAAAGCTACGGTTCTTGTAATTCGATTCATGCAAACCATTTCAAGATACAATAACAACAGCAGGTACAGTTAACGTCTCTGTCAAACAAGCACTCCAAAAATAGCTGATAAAATATCGCCGTGACTCACCGATTATGATTCATAACGTCCCCCTTGTGCTTGCTAGTCCAGCAAAAACAGTCTTGTTTGATTGCTAAGGGTCCACTCGGTCGAATCCAGTAAAAGATTTAGTCCAAAACACATTAGTACGTCCATAAAGACCCACGGGGGGCTGTTGCATCATTTCAAATTAGCCAGCAAATATGATAACTCGCGATCATAATTCGGTCATTATTTCACTTTTCATGTCAACAGAGCGGAGATTTTCATCGCAAAATGGAGCCTGCATTCCGCCGGTTAGATTGACACCTCATTTGACCCAATAGAAGCTTCTATAGCCCGGTCACAGTCTGGAAAAGCCAACGAGAGTCTGCTTTGAAAGACAATGCCCGCCTCTCTTCTTTGAGTGACGCTTGAGCCAATTGGAAACAGATCCTGTTCAAACTCAGGCTCCATATAGCCAATGAAATTACGAAGACAAGGATAGGCAGATTTATCAGATTGCCCCCTGGGAAAGTTTTCAAAACTGAAATTGTAAACCGTGAGTCAGGTACCTGAGACCAAATATCAAGAGCAAAGTCTGGTTCATGAGAATTTTTAAGGATCTTTGGAAGTTGACAATGGTTAAATATGATATAGTTAACCATACATCAACATAAATAAACTAAAGTTTGAATTTTGGACATGTAGTTTATTGTAGTATGTGCATTTTGACATGGTGAGGCGAGCCTCCAAATGTGTTTTTATGTGGTCGCACTCTTAGTAAACCACGTGTAAAATATTAATTTTCTGTCGTATTGTTAACAAATTCTAACTTGTACCATGACTCCATGCTGTCGTACCAGTGTCTTTTCCGGGTCATAAGTCCCAGCCATAGATAACTGCTGCCATCTGTTGGCCAAAACAAATCCAGGCGGAAATAAAAATCTTCTTTTTCAGTGTGTTGTAAACGCCATAGCTCGATGCCAGTAGCACTTATAGTGATTCTGACTGATTGTGAAGAAACTTCAGAGTGTTACTGTTCAATAGAGACTAAAATCATACATGTACTCCCAATGGTTCAATAAGAGCTGTCAGTTTACTTTGGGTACGCCTTGGATAGGCGTTTTAGGCAAATTTTACAGGAGTGATATGCTTGTTTATATATTATTATTTGTACAATGTGTTTTTATGAAGATGGCTTTTTGTTTGGTTTAATATGTGATAGGAACTATTGTTATGTCCAGTGTTGCTCTGGGGACATATTTAGCCGGTGCCAGTGTTGCTAACTTGGCGACTTTCTCCCTAAATCTGGCGACTTTCCAAACCCTCTTGGTGACTTTTTTTTTCAAAAGCTACTAGCGACAAATCTTTTTCTGGTGTTGTTGGAGACTTTTCTGGTGTTTTGACTCTGATGTTAAAGCACGTACGTTCTGCACTGTGGTGAACGAGCAGCAGGTGCTGCCGTGAGCCGCTCCAAAGCACTCACAGGCGGTTACTCTCACAACAGCCTCGCGCAGCAGTCCCAGCTGCAGTCAGAGAAGAGAGGAGACGCACTCTCGGCGTATTCTTGTATCTGCACTCTGCAGTTAGTGTTTATAGCTGTTGAGCTTCATTTTTACACGAAACAAATAATAACCGTAGCTGTGGCATCATAATGAGGTGTTTCAGCTGCAGGACAGCAGTGAAGGCCAAGGTATAAAATGCACGGCCCGCCACTGTGAGTGCACCATTAAACAACAGATTTTGGGACACTTAGGACCACTAATAATTCACCGGTTCATGTAAAAGAAGGCTGCATTTGGAAGACCCATTGAACGGGACAACCTTTTCATCACATCATAACTACTGTTGCTGGCACAGTGCTGCCAATTTGAAACGTTCAGACAACAAATAGCAAGAATGTCTTATGTTGCTGTACAATGACTTTTATTTGTTGTGAAGGCTTGTAACATTTTGGAACCAATTGTTAAGTGCTACTCCCAAAAGGGAAATTAAGCTTGGGCGTTATCCTGTTGACGAAAAGTCCTATGGTCAACACATTCTCACTCCCAACTCGTCAAATATTGACGCTTGGTCGGTGGCCCTGCATTTCAAACTCTGACGCTCTACGTACCTCTCTAGTGTCTGTTTTGGACGTGTCAGGGACGGCATGTCAGTTTGTTATATGCAAAGTGTATTTCTAAATAAACTTCCAACTTAGGTTTACTTACTTTTTATGTTTACTTGGGCCAAAAAAGTACTTGATTAGCATTTAAGTAACAAAACTACTTAGTAAGGCTTTAGAAAAGATTGTGGTTTGGGTTAAAATAGGTACATTTGTTACATAACTGCCGTTGGCTAAGTACCTAAGTGTACTTTTACATGGTTTCGCGCGGAACACAGTGTGTCATATCGGACGCCCAGGGGCACTTACCAAGTGTGTATATTTGACAAGTTGGGAGCTGCTTTAAGTGGTTATGTTGTTCCATAGTGCCATACAAGGGAGCTAAAATTGCCTTTAGTTGCTTTTGGCAATGTTGTTGGACATTAGAGTTCATGCTGCTGCTGCTGATAGGCCTGAACAAGGATCCTTTCTTGTGTATCTTAGGGAGTCACAGTATATCAGCATGGGGGGGCATCCTTGGGATAGCTGTGATGATATACAGTCCAATCAATGTGTTTGTTTGGTGCAGCTGTTGTCAGCAACATGTACAGTTTTCTGTATACCCAGTACAACAGTATATCCTATTGCTTAGTTCCCAGTTTTGCTGCTTACAATATTGTGAAGGGCATGGCCGTTCAGCGGGCTGATTGCTTGGCTCAAGGCCCCGGACATGCTGCAGGGAATTATGCAGCAAAAGTGAACTGCAGTCAATAAGTCGTCGCCTGTAAAGACATGCTCAAGTACACAGAACCATGAAGCTCCACCCCTGCTGCCACTAAGAGCGGTGTTCACTTGTTTATTCAAAGTTTATTAATATTGAACGGGCTGTGCCGTGTGTCCACACTGAACCAAATTCAACCAAGCACTTCATAGGGACCTCAGCAAAAGACCCACCAAGTGTGAAGTAGATCAGATGAGCGGTTCTCGATATAAGTGAAGAACACACAGACATTCCTTGCTTCCTAGTTGGAATGTCCTTTGACCATGATAATGAAAAAACACAACATGAATAAATCCATAACAATGCCATAGACTGTAACAAGCAATATAATTGAAATAACTTTATTATAGAAACCCTCCCAGATCACTAGAGAAGACAAATACTTTACACTTCAAAATTAGAAACAGATTTACATCCCAGACACAATCTAATGTTCCCTTTTTATAAGCTAGCAGAGTGTTTGTTCTGCTTCCAGTCTTTCAATAGTTGCTCTATTGTAGAATTTATGGACATAGGAGCTTTGGAGTTAAAACAAACTGAGACACCCCCCCTCCCCCAACATTGTTTTTAAGTTTAAAATCAGAGTCCATGCCAGTTAGCAAATCACATTCAGATCAGGTTTTTTTTTACAATACCAAACACATGTCACCAGAATCCACATTCTGAAATTCTATACACATTCCAGGCTGGAGCTTTTGGAATCTGCTGATGAAACAAATTCACACATCATTTCAAGTTTTATTAAGTTCCTCCCTTTATGTTTCAGTCAACATCGTTTTTTTTTTTGTTGCTACAAATACACCAACATGATATAAATTAGGAACAGAAAGTAGAGGTAATATGTCTTCCCACAGAATGTCCAAATGGACACACAGCAGTTTATTTCTGTCTGGAGTTTAGTGTTAACAAAGGATGGGCCACCTTCCTGAGCTTCCTGAGTACAGCTCAGGCTAGAGCTTTTCATTCTGGGTTTGTGCCAAAGACACTTTGAATGGCAGCTGAGGATGACGTGCTGACAGATCTCCCCAAAAAACGTTGAACCAGTTGTACAGTGGCTGAACTTGTACTGGTTTATAGTGATTTTAAAATCCTTCATTTGGAAGAGTACTTCTGTCCTGCTTGTCTCCAGAATTTGGTTTGAACATTTTCTCGCAAACATTAATGAGAGTAATTCCTTCATATTCATTGGCTGTGGTGTAGTCTGCTTCAGGTCCTTCTTCACATTCCAGCTGTAGAGTAAGGTTAGGTCAGGCTTTGATGTTGCAGCAGTCACTCCTTGGGATCACCACAGGCGAGCCCAATTACCGTGGGAAATGACATCACTGCAGGCGTGGCCAGTACTGTGACATGTCCGCTTCGTTTCCTGGAACTTGGACCGGAACTGAGACACCAGGGGAAATCAGACCTGGTGATAGGAGAACAAAGAGGTAATTTGAGTTGACAGCCGTGACACAACAAAGTTGAAAGTGTGTTTTGACTCAACGCAAAGCAAGTTGTAGAAGTTGCACAGTTGCACATTAAGTGCAGATGCAAGTCTTTAAGTCTACACTAACTGTGCAGATGTATGGAAATAGCAAAGAGAAGGCTTGTATAGGTACTTGAGGATGCAAAATGGGTTGCAATCAAACCAACAATCAATAAAAAATGATCTGAGATTTTTTGTTCTACACTTAATTTTTTATCTAACTTTGTACAAAAATGTATGTGGTACAGCTAAGCAATGTCCAAACCCACATAACTTTATTGTAAATACTAGTCGAGATTCCAAAAAATACTAAACATGTCGCATGAATCTTTAGTAAATGTGTATAAAAGATATTATTTGATGAACCAGTTACTGAAGGTTTGCTGCTGTCTTAAAGGAATACTTCCCCTACATGACCATTTGTATGTATATACTGTATGTTACTCTCCACATGTTACCTAGAATTCTTGAAGAAAACCTTGTTTTTTTCCACATGCCTCCACAACGACCAGAGATTCCAAACTGGAGAAGTCTTGTGTGCCTATCAACTATAGGACTATATCAAGAGATCGTTTTAAACACTCTTGAATAACTCCTATAATGTAATCCAAGTCTCATTTATCCAGACATACGCTCACATGCATCTTCCCTAAAATCATCATCTTCCCTAAAGCCCGTGTTATCCTAGAATTCAAGGTAACACAGGGTATGTAATTGATATAGAAATTGTCATTTTGAGGGTGAAGTATTCCTTTAAAAAACTGAATCACTCCACAGTAAGTGAATGTTAAGAATTAACAACTGTTTAGAGTTTAACAGTTTTATCCTTTATTAACCTTTAATTTTCTCAATGTTTCTCCAAACTTTTAATCAGCTTGAAGTTGAATATGTTTTAAGATTTTTCTAATTCCAAACATGATTCAAATAAATATAATTCTTCCAGTCTGGGAAGTATTCAAACTCAAAATGTTTTAATGGATATATCATTGATCATCATCAGTATTCATTTCTGCCCTGTCTCATTTAAGTAGTTATCAACATGCATCCTGCAACAGTTGTCAGTTTGTATTATCCTACCTGTTGATGACGTTGCAGAGGACGTCATTGACTGGCTATTGATGTGTGGCTGCATGTGTGGAGGAGTATATGTCTCATAACTTCTTCCATTTATAGTGGGACTGGTGGGCAGCATGCAGGAATAAGAGGGCTGGCTGGATGCCTGGAAACATAAATTAATATTACCCATTAAAACAGCAGAATTTAACATCTTAATGAGCCATTCACCATTGGGTTGGTGTCATGCAAGATTAACACTGTTAACACTAATAATTAATCACTCAATTAATTGCCTTTTCCCCCACAGCAAACATGATGGTCAATTAGTCAAATCAAGGTCAAGAGGCATTTTTGTTTTTATTCAAGAAAGACTGCATAACATTTTTCAGATGGTCTCGGATTCTTCCAGAATACCCATGTACAGGAGATTACATGTAGATTGTCTGACTGCATAAAGTGGGTGCTCAGACTTAAAATAGCTCAGCGTTAAAACCATGCAAAATACGGCTTTCGTATGGCCCAGTGGCTACAGGTACAGGTGAGAAGATGAAATATGATCCAGTCAGTCTAGTTGTACATGAATGACTTTTAAAGTCAGACACCAACACACTGCACAGGGGCGTATAACACTGTAAAGAAGGGATTTACAACTCTGGAAAGTTGGCCACGATAATTTTATCCTCTATCACTACAATGTTAAGGTAACTCTTCAAAAGAAAATGTGTAAAGGTTATTTGTAAGACTAAGAGTTAAATTAAGAACTCTTTTCATCCAAAGACCCCTTTCTGGAAGAAAGAGCATTGGTGTGTAATGATGATCAGCCCTGGCCATTTAGGAGCCTAATGATGAACCTGGGTGGGTTCAAGATAAATCCCTTATAAATAGATTTATAAAAGGGTTCTCAATAGACCGCCTGCGTGAATTTTAGATGAAACCCTTGAAATACAAAAGGGGACTTGGTAGACCCCAGCATGGGTTCTTGTTAGCTCCCTTTTGAGGCTGAAAAGGGTTCTGGGTGGAACAATTACACCATAGAAGTATGCTCTGTAGAATCTCGTATAGGGTGTTCTAGGTTGAACCTTTTACAGATGATTCCAGGTATAACCCTTTGTGTTGGGTCAATTTGGGACAAGCCAAAAAACCCTATACTTGTACCTTAAACCCTATAGTTAGCACCTTTATTTCTAAGAGATACCATGCGCAACATCAAAAAGTGATATACTAGGAATTACCAACGGGGAGCTCTGTGTCTGGGCTGCCTGACTTTGTGTTGGAAGTTCATATTGAGCTATGTTCACTGGGGGCAAACATTTCTACAAAGATGTTCTAAGTAGCTGTAGGCAACACATTAACTGTTCACATGGAACCAGAACCTGACACACATGAAGATGCTATCTCTTATTTGAGGTGTTGAGGTGTGCTCGTTTAATTGTATATTGTGCTGTCTTGTAAAATAATCTTACTTGCATAGGCAGGCTGGCAGCCATACTGAAGCTGGGCATAGCTGGTAGGCTGTAGCTATTGGACAGAACTGGATCTGACCTCCCCAACATGGATCCTGATGAGAATGACACTAGAGAGATAAGGATGGGGAAATCATGAGAACACAGTATCCAAGGCAATATACCTTAACATACAAGATAGTACAATACTTCCATGACATTGGTGAATGCAGGGGAGATAGTTGGTCCTTGTAATTGTTTTGTAAGTCACAGGTAAATCTCAAAACTCTACCACCTGAGGTTAAGTAGCAGAACCCATTAATTGTAGGGTTAGTGGTTTAATCCCTGGTTCCTCCTGCCCATGTGTCCAGCTGCAGTTGATCAAGACACCAAACTCCCAAAATTGCACATTGGGAAAAAATTACTTTGGACAAAAGCATTTGCTGAATGAAAATAATGCAACCCCAAGACTCTGGCCATGATCAGGATCAAAAGCAGCTATGTAAGTCCTTTGAACTCAAATACCTAACTCAATTGTCAAAAATCTGATTGGAATTCATGAAGTACAATACTGGAGCTGCAGTAGTATTGCTGTATTTGAAGGAGCTTTTGTTTTTTACAGCCTATAATTATGGGGAGGACAGTGAGCTAGACGACACTAAACTATTAATGATGTGGAAATGCAATACAAACTGTAGCAAGAAAGAAGCAGCTAACCATGCCTTGTATTTGAAATTGTTATAATTAGCCAATCAATTCTTAAGTTATGGCCAAAAGGTAATGTGTTTTTTAAGAGGTCACAGTGACCTTTGACCACCAAAATCGAATCAGTTCATCCTTGAGTCCAGGTGGATGTTTGTTCCAAATTTGAAACTTTGCTTAAGGCAGTTCACAGAATGGACAAGAAGACGTACAGACAGACAACCCTAAAGCATAATACCTCCGACCACAGCTGTCGCCGGCGCGGAGGCATGCAAAATTAACTTTTAGTAGAACAACAACTTGAACAGTATCCATTAGTTATTATGCTCATAATAAGTGTCAGTCAAATAGTATATGTACTTGTAGTACATGTCCTCATCACTACCTGGTGTAGTAGGTTGTGGTATTGGCTGGTAAACACTGGGGTTGAAGCTGCTGCTGATGGGAATATGGTTGGAGGAGTTGGACACTTGACGACGTTGATTTCTCAGCTTCTCTTCTCTTCTCCACTTCGCTCGTCTGTTGGAGAACCAAACCTGCAAATGCCAGAATAGAAAAGAAAAAGACATACATTGTTATAAGGTTAAAGGATGGGTACATTTTTTCAAGTCTCTTAAAACAATACTGACATGTCCATATGTTTCATTAATGTTATTTAATGAAAAAAACATGTTGTATTACAAAACAGAACACTCATACATACACACATAAAATAATGATATATAATAGAGCTTACCTGTATTCTTGCCTCTGGAAGGTCTATTTTGTTGGCCAGGCGTTCTCGAGCAAACACATCTGGATAGTGAGTCCTTTCAAACTCTGGAAGAAAAACATTGTTTCATTAGATGATAACTTTAGTTTTGCCATTTCTAATTGTTGTACATTAGGAAAATCAATCTACAGTCATAAAATAATAGTGAAGCATTGCGTTCCAACATTGGCAGTAATGAAGTGCTGTGAGGGGCTGTGTTTTGGCCTTTTACAGATGTTTTAATGATTCACTCCTCACATTCAGTGCTGCCATACATTTTCTGCCTGGACAACTGCACAACTCATATTATGATTAAAGTCAGTCAAAACAGACACCTAAATAGTTACCTAATTAATAGTCAATATATATGTATATATATATGTATATATATATATATATGTATATATATATATATGTATATATATATATGCATATATATATATATGTATATATATATATGCATATATATATATATGTATATATATATATGCATATATATATATATGTATATATATATAT